ACTAACATGCAACAATGATTTTATGAGAAACAGATCTCACAAAACAACCGTACTTCCTTTTTATCAAGAGTATCATCTGACAACAGAAATATTTTATTGTGAGCATGGTTACAGTGCCCCAGAGCAAGTCATGGAATAATTGGATGCACATACGGAGAGGAAATAAAGAAATCTCGGAAGTGCACTCAGTCGTTTTGGTGTGTTGCAAGAAACCATTTTAAACAACAAATGACTTGGAATGGCTGACATAAACCTATAAATTGTAATGGGGTCATATAAGGATGAATGCCGCCTTTTGGGCAGTTATAATATGAGAATGAGCTTATAAACAGCACATGGGTCAATGCACATCGATGTCCTAGGCTTACAGTAAGCCTGCCTGCCACTTTATAAACCATGTGGAACTGCTTACATTAATACATTGCAGGATAAAGGTGTCTAGTTCCTGCCCTTCCCACGTCTCTCTTTTGGCCTACTGCTGTTATAGGAGAATTTGATGAGCAGAAGCAATGTATGGGATGCGGAGTGCTTGTTCTGGGAATATGTATGAATCTTGCATTGTTGTGTAATAGTACAGTATTACCTTTTAAGGGTAAATATGTGTGCTGACATCAACTTGTTTTCTCTCCCTGTCAGAACAGGAATGTCACTTTGCAAAGCCTTTGGTTTTCTTTCCTTAAGGGCACTTATGACAGTTTTCTGAGTCTTTTGTGAAAACTGAGCTCAGCGAGTAGATAGGACATCCCTAGTTTCTGACGCTAGTTTGACACTTCTGCTCTGACAGGGAGGGAATACAATTAAATAATACAAAACAGATACTGTGAGATTTAAGGCTGCTTTATTATGTGGATACTTAAACTCTATTGCACTCCTGTGTGTTAAATGTATTAAAAAACCCCATTGCTGGCTATGGGTTTGTCCATATTTTACCATTGAGCTAAGGTATAGTAAAAAGATATAAGGTAGCACCAATCTTGCAATGACATTATGGCACCTGCAGTTTAGGTCGAGCCCCAGAGGGGTTTGTTTTACCATCATCTGGAGCAAATCTGCAGTGGTGAGATATTGAATTTCATGGACATGTTGACCTTGCAGCCTTGTTACATATGGAACTCTGTATTTAATTGTAAAGATGTTTATTGAAAACATTGTTTCCATTTTTATAGGGAAAAGAAGTAACCCTTAAAGAGACCCTATCGCTAGATCATTCGTCTCAACAAAAATCTTCCAAAAAATAAATAAATGATGTGTATATATATATATAATATTTTACCTGTAAAAACCTCCCTTGTGTAGATACACCCAATAGCTCTGAGACAGCTGCTGGGTGCCACCATCTTGGATGTGATGTCAGCAGACTCAATTACACTCTATAGTATTCCCCTTCACTCCTCCCCGGCAGCTACATAAAAGGTTATTGAGGGAGGTGAGGGGAGGGGCAGAGATGCTGGGACAGCACAGACATTAATTAGACACTCCCAGAAAAGGAGAGGGCTATGTTGTGCCAGGAGGGAGGGGGCAGTAGTAATAAACTGAGACATTCTAGTGTAGCCAAATTTTCTAGTCATTTCAACACAAGTAAATACAAATCATTTATGGAATGTAAGAAAATTTAAGTGCTTACATTTTCTGTGCTTTTAGCTGTTGGTGACAGGGTCTCTTTAATCATTTGCAGAGATTTAGTAAGAGGGAGGATCTCTGCCACTGACCCTGCAGAGTATTGCCACGCGTGAATACTTCTTTGATCCCAGTTATGCTTGTGCTGCTCGGATCACTTGTGCTACTACTGTATATCATGGCTTGCATTGTTACCTTCAGTGTCCTTATTAACTGATGTGCTAATAGTGATCAGTGTCAGTCTGCAGCAGTGAAAGCTACATGTTTTTATCATGCTTGCTAAATGTTTCCTTTTTTAAGTTTTGGAAATCTATCCCAGGAATGACACATGGTTGCCCCCTGGAATTGTCCTTGGGTTTAACATGGACTTCCCAGTAGAATGCTTCTTTTATGCTTGTCGTATATATTTTGTGTCATAGTTGAAATTGAGGCAGAAATGTTACACTGCCTAGAGCGGCCTTTCTCAACCTTTTTTCCCTGGAGGAACCCTTTAAATAATTTTAAGCTCCCAGAGAACCTTTGCGACAACTTATATCTACATTTCAGGGTATATTATTGTGATCAATGCATGTTGGATACAGGAATAAACAAAACAATAAAAAATGTGCTGTACCTAAAGAATTTAAAACACAGAAGAGATCATTTTATGGCACCCCCTTGCTCCAAATTATTTTCAGCAATAAACATAAAAAGAAATATAT